TTTTCGGTAATTATAATAGTAATAATAATATCAAAATAATAATAATAATAATAATAATAATAATAATAATAAATGGGCAGCGGGGTAGGACAGGCTGGTGCCTACTTTGGGAAGATGGACGTTCTCGCCCACCATAGTCAGGGGTGGTGTCTTTGGCAAGCATCAGTAACCCCAAAGCCACCCCTGGTTGGGTTACAACAAACAGGTAGTTGGGGCTCGCTAGGCTCGGTAGCCAGCCCTCCTGGAGCTTCGTTTTTGTCATTAGACCATTCACATTAATATGGGCCTGTTTCAGATAAAGAATTGTTAAATGATATTTTCGTGCTCATTCTGAAATCTAACAATTAACCTTGTTCAGTACTTTCGGTTCTGTCTGGCTGAGTCGCTTGCAGGACATGCTGTTGCATGTTTGATAGGGATTCCTAGCATCTAGTGCAGACCAAATGATGTTTGTAGCATTTAGCAGCTCCTTGTACTTCGACTTGCATGTACCTCACATTAACATTCTGTGATTTCTGGCTACTGTTTGGCAGCATGATGAGTGCTTATTTGAGTCCGAAAAAGCAGGACCAGGGTTGGGATTGATGTCACCACTTGTTAATAACAGTGATTGTTGAAAAGTAGCCCATGAATTCGCATAGTAGTTGATCGGTGTGTTTAGGTAGCACTTCACTTGCGGAAATGATCCAAGATGGTGGCAACAATCCTTGTGATCATGAGGTAGAGGCTGTAAATTTTAAACGTTTAGTCTGGGTGCCTGGTGATGATGACCCCATACAGGCAATTCTTTCATTTTCACAATGGAACTGAGACCAATATGACAGCCCATAAAAAAGCTAAAATTTGTGACAGCAAAAGCCAGCACATCTATCCCCCATTGTAACCACTGACCAATGACAGGTAATCAGTAAACAAACATGATCGGACAATCAAAAACACCCTTAATATTAATTTTTAATGAACTGATGAAACACGATTTATGGTAAACAACACAACAGGAATGGTACAGATCATAGCAACAATTCTGGGGTTGATTGAGAGTGCCTATATTATGGCAGAAGTAAAGGCAACTTTTGCAACAGCCAGCACTACAGGGATGAGTGGGCGAGTGAGTAAGGACAGGTACCTCATTGTGATTGCAAGCACCTTTTTTTAACGATAATAGTGATAACAGTTACACCAGTGAGTAAGAGTAACAGGAGCCTTGAGGCCATGCCGTAAAAAGCAGCACTCTACTGTGAAATATCAAGCCTCATTTTTATGTCCCGCCATTCGTCCTTGCTAAATCTTCAATAAGTTGTTTTGCTGTAGTCAACCATTTTGATTACTTCTCTCAATTCTCAAAATGCACCATTTCAGGGGCATGCATTATTGATTCTGTAAAACCAATTAACCGGCCACATCCTCTTGAAAAATCCTGGATCTGCCCCCACAATTTCATTACAGAACAACTTGGTCAGATCTATTTAAAAAGTTGCTATATCCTTATTTTATATATCTGTTAGTAACAAGAACAAAACATATTGAATGCACTGTTTAACAATTCAAATTGGTCTTTGGTTTTCTCCAAAGACTATTAACAAAGTGAACAGACCAAAAAATGGATCATGTGTACTAAAGGCATCTGCGGTTGAGTGCTGATCGATACCCTCAATCCAGGGTTCATACCCTTTTTCAGAAACAAATTTCCAGGACTTTTTCAGGACTTTTCCAGGACTCAGATTGATTTTTCCAGGACTCTAAAATTCACATTAACCCTTTCACTCCCATTATCTTAATGTTAATTCTCCAGGACTTTCCAGGTTTTCCAGGACCCGTACGAACCCTGTCAATCAACCTGTGATAAACACTCAATCGAAATCTTGATCAACACTCAATCGACATTCCACCTGATATTCGATTGACACTGATCAGCACTTGATCAACATCTCAATTGACACTTGATCAACAGTCGGCTGATAGTTGGCTGAGTGTTGACTGACTCATATGCATCAATCACAAATTAGTTGACGCTTGACCAACGGTTAACAGAGATGTTGATCCAGTGTCGAGTCCACTATTTTTTGTGGAATATTTTTTTTCTGTTTTTTGTTTTTTTTGTTTTTTATTATTTTTTATTTGTTTTTTTATTTTTTTATTTTTTTTGTTTTGTTTTTTCTTTTAATATGTCCGCTGATGATTTAATAGCCAGCACTTACATTGTTGTTCCTTAGTTCTGGCTTACTCTTATAGATCTTGGCTTCAGATTACTCTTCCATCGATTCAATTTTGACCTGCACTAGACAGTGAACTATTTTTGGCCACTGGAACTAATTGATTTAAGTCATCAAATGTAATCAAAATATAGCCAATGAAATATAGCTGTTCCCATGGTTAACATCCCCAAGCCAAGGCGATTCACAGCCGTGTTCGTTAACAGAATAAATAATTGTTGTCCCAGTTATGTATCACAGGCACGTCATCTCGCATCCTGACCAAACAGGCCACATACAGTCCAGAATCAAAACTTCTACAAATGAGCGATCATGAATGATCGAAAAAGCAAATCGCCTCGTATACACATACTTAGCATTGTAATTCGTTTTCGCTGGGCCAAACAAATCTCACTCCGGTCTGTGCCCGGGGGGGCACTGAAATATATGGGCTATATAGGTATGTGCCGCTATGAAGGGTATGGTTTTCAAGCAGTTTACTCTAGAATAGGGTATATAAATCAGAG